ATGGGGACTGACTGTTGCCAGTTTAAAACTGCTGCCTCTGGGGCAACGGGGTGGCTCAGTCCGTTAAGCATCTGGCTCTTGGTTTTGGCTCGGGTCGTAATCTCATGGTTCATGAGTTTGAGCCCCACATCATGCTCTGTGCTGACTGTGTGGAGCCTGCTTGGGATTCTCTCTTCCTCTCTCTCTGCCCCTTCCCTGCTCGTGCTCGCTCTCTCTCTCTCTCTCTCTCTCTCTGTCTCTCTCTTCTCTCAAGATAAATAAATAAATAAACTTAAAAAAGACAAAAAACAAAAACAAAAAACTGATGCCTCACAAGGAATTTCAGGCTAGGAGTCCCCCCACCCTGGAGGCCACGTAGGTGGTTTCCACTGGAGCTCCAGGCCGGCTGACAGGTGCTTACTGCAAGCTAAGCGGTGCAGGTCAGGGTAGCCAGAGACTGGGCACAGGACAGCTGTGGGGAGAGGCCTGATTACAGGAACAGGCTGTTGGGGGTGAAAGGTACCTGACTAATTCCAAGCCCTTAATCTACATAAATGCGAGGAAATATTTGCCCTGAAGGTAAAGCTGTAGGAGTCTGGACCACCTTGTTAGTATGGGGCCTGTCCCGATGGCCTTCCCTAAGACACCTGGGACTTTTGATGACTGGTAAGCCTGGGACCCATCAGACAGCCAGTGTAACTGGGGACTAGCTATCACTGTGGAAAGCTACCACCACAGATTTTTAGGAGGTGGGTTCCTTTCACCCTAGAGGTTATGCATGTGGTTTGGGACGCATCAGAACTCCACCAACCTGGATGACCCCAGATGCCTTCTATGTGTAGGCGGGGTATGTGCTGTACGTGGGTGAGAGGCAGGGATTAGGGCAGCCAGGGTTCCGGGTCATGAGAGCAAGCTGTTGCGGCATGTGTCTAATACCAAGCCCTGACTTACACAAATGCACATACATATACGTACATTCTAATTTTACATATATATATATATCCTAATTCTGTGCCTATGTATATATATTTATTCGAATTGCAGGCATATATTTGATAAGGATATATAATTAAGCTATATATAAAATAACCTATTATATATAATCTATGCATAATTACACATATAACCTATTAATATATAATTTATACATATGGTATTCATATACAATTAAAATATATATCTAATTATAATTTATATTTAATTTAGGATATATATTTATAATATACAGATATAAATGGGATTAAGAATTTTGAATATATAATTAGGATATATACATATATATGTAGAATTAAGTTGAACCATAGGAAGTTGCTTATTGTGACAGATATTTGACTATGTTTGACCTACAAAAATGGTGATTTGATATGGCTGAGCCTAATACTTTAAATGAGCCAAAATAATATTTACTGGCGTTCGAAGCTCATTTTGTGCAACTTTTCCCCAGACTCTTCCGTTGTTTCTAGTTCCAGTGTCCCAATTCTTTAATGATTTGAAAAATTGTTCCCTCCTCATACTGTTGAGGAGCTATAACAAAAAAACAAAAACCAATGATTATTTTGCATATGGGAAATCACAGGGCAGTGTTGGTAGGTAGGGAAATTATTCCATTTTCCCATTATGTGGGGAGGAAAGGAGGTCACTGAAACCGGACAGTTTCTACAAGAAGTCAGGCAGGGACTGAGG